GGGGGACCGACTTGCTCTCCCCGCCGGTCGAAGGCTATGACTTCCAGTATTTGCGGCTGCAAGGCTCGTCTGGGGGCCTGTCGTACTGCCTCGTCCGTGAGCGCCTCAATGTGCTCCGTATGTGCCCTTGGGATCCCTGCGTCTCTCCCGGTCTGCTCTCTTGAGGGGGTGGCCGGGAAGATCCTGACCACCTGCGGCCCCACCGTGATGCTACTGGTCCCGCAGAAGGCGGCTGACATGATGGCAGCAGTGTTGAGTCTGACTCTCACCTGCGCCATGTGCTTGTATTCTCCTGTGTCGGGAACCAGGCATACACCGTGCTTACCTGCTCCACCGCTCCAGTGCCCACAGTGGCTTCGACGGCCTCGATCACGTCCTGCTGTCTGGATTGCCCTAAGTCTGCTATGTTCCACCGAAGGTGGAAGCCGTCTTCCGGGTCGGCTAGCCTGGCGAATGAGGGGCCGCCGCCCCAGCTTCCCCCTAGAAAAATTATTCGAGGGCTGAGGGCCGGGGAGCTGCGCGCGGACCCGAATACTCTGGGGAGTTCGTCCTTGAGGTATCGCAGTTTCGGGGCCGCAATTCTCTCTGGGATCTTTAGGAGGAGCAGTCCTCCCCAGTTGAGGCCTACTCGGTACCCAAAGGCTGCCGCTGCGGCCGCTGCGGCCGATACGGCCAGGCACGTGGCGGCGGCTGGTATGGGGATGTGCACAGAGTCAGACGCTTCTCTGGACCTCCAGGTGCTCCCATGGACGTTGGTTGCCAACGCCGTCTGCGCTGCGACTTGGAGTTTTTCGGGGGGTAAGTCTGTGGGGGCCTGCATGTGCGTCCGTCTGGCAGGTCGACAACGAACCACGTGGTGGAAGAGTGGCTCTAGCCCGGCTTTTAGGAGGGTCTCGTCCCTCGGTAAGGATATCCTGGAAGTAGCCCATTCCACGTCCACTGTTGAGTGCTCGTTCCCTTCTAGGGTCTGCTGCCACCTTGTAATCTGTGCCACAATGGCGTCGTTCCGTTGTTCTGGTGTATGTGCAGGGCGTCGCTGAGTTCTGCGCCCCTGCCTCCCCAGTGTACCACGATGGATGGTGGGAACTGCGTTCTTTGGGGGTGGTCTGTTATGTGGAACTGAGCCGCAACAAGCTGCATTAAGGGGGTTTCATTTTCCCCGTTATCACAGGGTTCCCTATGGGCACCAAATTCGTGATCATGCCGGCTGCTCGGTAACCCCACTGAGCATTAGCTATGGCTATCAGTTCAGTCGGGTCGGGGCCTCCTGGCATTGGGATTCCACACACACACACACACACACACACACAGCGACACACTTTTTCGGTCGCACGCAGCTTGGGCAGGAAGCCGCTCGGGCGCTCAAAGCCGGTCAGTACGGAAAAGGACGGCCGACCTTCAGGAGGCTGGTTGGGAACGCAAGACGCACTGCTTGGCGCCACAGCAGTGCATGCGGCGGTACGGCCGAGTCAGAGAGACGGAAGCGGTCGCGCGCATCAGCATCAGCATCAGCGCGACATCATCATCATCATCATCATCATCATCATCATCATCATCATCATCATCATCATCATCATCATCATCATCATCATCATCATCATCATCATCATCATCATCCATCATCATCATCATCATCATCATCATCATCATCATCATCATCATCATCATCATCATCATCATCATCATCATCATCATCATCATCATCATCATCTGCAGCAGCAGCAGCATCAGCATCATCAGCATCAGCATCATCATCATCATCATCATCATCATCATCATCATCACAATCATCACCATAATCAGCATCATCATCATCATCAACATCATCATCCGCATCATCATCAGCCTCAGCATCATCCCTATCATCATAATCACCGTCATCATCATCATCATCATCATCATCATCATCATCATCCTCAGCAGCAGCAGCATCATCATCATCATCGTCATCATCATCACAGTCAGCATCAGCATTGTCATAATCATCACGACCATCACCAACAGCAGCAACAACATCATCACCATCAGCATCACTATCTTCAGGAGCATCAACATCATCACTATCAGCATCATAAACTTGATCATTACCATACTCAGCATAAGCATCGACAACAGCCTCATCATCAACATCCACAACCTCATTGACACTATCATCAACACCATACCCCTCATCATCATCATCATCATCATCATCATCAGCATCATCATCATGATCATCATCATCATCATCATTCTCATCATCAACATCAGCATCATACCCCGATCTCCAATTCCTCCTGTCGCTCCACCTCCTCCTCCTCCTCTTCCTCCTCATCCTCCTCGTCCTCCTCATCCTCCTCATCCTCATCCCGCTCTTCCTCGTGTTCCCTCATCCTCCTCCTCCTCGCCATCCTCCTCCTGAGCAGACCCAGAGATAGAAGGCAGTCCTCCGTCCTTACCCCTCCTCCTCCTCCCCTTCCTCGCCCTCCATCTCACCCGCCTTCGCATCCTCCTCCATTCCCTCCTCCTCCTCCTCCTCCTGCAGTTCCTCGTCCTCTTCATCCTGCCACCTGATCGTCCTCATCCTCCTCCTCATCATCCTCCTCCCCCCTCCGTCTGCCAGGATCAGCAAAGCTTGAGGATGCAAACTCCAAGTGTCTGGCTGCTGCTACAGGTGGAGGCCTGTGAAGGCCTGTGAAGGCCGCAGCACCGCTCAACGATGTGTTGTGGATCGACCCTCGCCAATTTGGCTGTTTTCCAAATCCCAGCTTCAGCGCAAAACGTACACGCGCTTCGTCTCCGTCGTCGTCGTCGTCGGCGTCGTCGGCGTCATCGTGATCGCACTGCACTGTTCCCAGCTCGCGGAGCCTTGGCGCTCCGAGCGCCTCAGCAACGGGACGGTTCAGTTGGTGCCCTCTCCCCTGTTGGGGCCCTGCTCTCTGGTTGGAGGAGAGCCTGAAAGAGGGTGCCGAAACTCGCCCCCAGGCTCAGCAGGGCACCAGGGTACAAGCCCGAACGAACTGTCCAGCTGCTGCTCCAGGAGCGTCCTGCGCTCGGAGGGAAGTCGCAGCAGCGCTCAACGAGAGAAATCGCAGCACCTTACCTTCCAGGGCGGCCCTATCGCAAATCCCTGCTGCGCCATACAGGGCATTTCGAGGAACCGCCTGCGCCACCACCTGCCGAAAATCCGACTCGTCTAAGTGCGGGTCCGAGGGGGGAGGTCCGGGCGGGGGAGGAAGGGCGCAGCAGCGCTCAACCACGCGCTGTGCTCTGACCTTCTCCAGGTGGGACCGCGTCCGAAGCCGCGCTTGCGCGCGGATCGTGTACGCGCCTCGCCTTCGTCGTCGTCGACGTCGTCGCGGTCGTGGTCGCGGTGCGCGCTGCTCTGCTCGGGGCTAGCTCCCTCTCCTCCCCCGAGACGACCCGGAGAAAGAGAGAAAGAGGGAGAGACTGAGAGAGAGAGAGATACAGAGGAAACAATAAAAACATCCACCATCTTCCTCCCCTTCCTCTTTACAGTCCTCCTACTCCTCCTCCTCCTCCTCCTCCTCCTCCTCCTCCTCCTCCTCCTCCTCTTCCTCCTCCTCCTCCTCCTCCTCCTCCTCCTTGTCCTCGTCCTCGTCCTCCTCCTCCTCCCGATCCTACACCTCATCCTCCTCTTCGAGCCCTCCTGATCCTGCATCTCCTTCTCCTTCTCCATCTCCTTCTCCTCCTCCTCCTCCTCATAATCATCATCATCATCATCATCATCATCATCATCATCATCATCATCATCATCATCATCATCATCATCATCATCATCATCATCAGCAGCAGCAGCAGCAGCAGCAGCAGCAGCATCCGCCTATACTAGTGCATTCCCACCCCCTTGGCCATCGTCCTCCTCATCCATCTCCAAGTCCACTCCTCCTGTGCCCAACCCACATGATCCTCCAATCCCTGCTCAATCCTCCCCCCTCCCCCGGGAAAGGACGATCCCTTACCCCCGGGGAGCGAGCAGGAATAACGGGTCGGGACCCAGACCTCCGAGGACACAGCATTTTCCCCTACCGCCGGCCCCTGGAGATTTCGACCCCTTCCACAGGACCAGCCGAGCGACGATCGAAAACAGGTCTTACGCGAGATGACGCAGCGACTTTACGCGGTGGCTTACGCGGGCCGCCGGCGCTGCACGCTAGTGGAGACGAGGGCGCTTACGCGCGACCTTACGCGGGGAGCTTACGCGCCAAAATCGCCGCAGTCGGACCCGTCAAATTCTGACGATCCTGGGGCCCAGGAACAGCCCCAGAATGCCAGGCATCCACAGAAAGACGCCAAGGCGACGCGCTGGAGTCGCCCAGTCTGCGGAGGACCCTCCTGAGGGGGACGGGCCCATAAGCGAGAACTCCTACACCCGGAGATGCGTAGGACGCGGCTGGGAACAAAAAACGTTACATCTCGCCGGAGACCAGCCGCCCCGATGTGGGGCCCAGGCAGAAAGCCGAGGAGCCGGGGGGGGAGGGACCCCCTCGCATTATGAAAAACACGATGGGATTTGTGTCGCTACTTTCGGCCTCTGGGGGCCCTTCCTGGGACTCGGGACCGTCAAAAAATGACTCAGGATGAGAAGCCGGTCCTGGGGGAGGGGTCGACGTTGTGACAAAAAAACGACATCGGGGGTCTGAGGAGAGAGAGGCGAGGTGAACAGGAGGAGCAGAGGGAGACGGAGAGGGAGAAGGCAGGGGCGGCGGACTAGCAAAGCCAGACGATGGGGCGGCCCTAGAGGGAGAGACCCAGACTCCAGGGGTCGCAAATTCGTCACGACGTCGACCCCCAGAAGGTCTGGACCCCCCCTTCCCCAGAACTGGTTGTTCATCCTGAATCGTTGCTGACCATCCCAGGGCCTGGTGAGGGCCCCCGGAGGCCGACAACAGGGAAAAATCTCCCGTCGCGACTCTTTCAGAGCGCGAAAGGGCCTGGGGAGAGGAAAACAGGCGCAGGGGATGACGCGGCGATGGCGTGGCAGCGGCGACGCGGCAGGCCTGAGGCGGTGGCGGTGGAGCCGCCCTCGGTCGGTGCCTCCCGCGGCATACGACGACGACGGCGACGACCACGACGACGCCGGCGGCGAAGGCGCGGTGGAGGGGCCCTCGGCCGGCACCTCCACGGGCACTCGACAACGACGACAACGACGAGGCGTCGACGACGACGCCGCCGCTGACACCGACGGGGGGGGGGAGGGAGGCGCAAATCTTTGGCGGACAGATCCTTTCAATCCCCACGCTCGTCTTCTGCTTCGGCCTCTAAGGGGCCCTGGACCGTCTGGGCAACGCCCAGGGTGAAAAGCCAGGCCAACGGAAAAGCAAGAGATCTGAGAAGGGGGGAGTACGCGTCCTCCTCCTCCAGTGGGCCCGCACCCTTGGCCCCTTGGGGATTTCCCTCCCCCCTTTCCCGCTCGTGCCCCTAACCCCCCGTCCAGTCGGCCAGCAAGACCCCTCGTGAACGTCGAACAAACATCAGGCACGTCTTACAGTTGTCCCTCGAAGCGGGCGACGACGCCCTCGTCCAAACGTTTGCCGTTAAATTTCATCCGACGGGACTGGCAAATTATAAAGCAATCTACACAAATGTAAGAAATCCCACAAGCGTCAGCCGTATATCCCGCTCACAGCGGTCGGGAGGCCCAACCCCTTCCAGCGCGGCAGCAGTGCAGAGGCAGCCGCTGTCAGCTAGCACGGCGGCCCCGGCCACGTTGCGGCTTTGACGGCGCCAAAAGGCGCCACGGCTTGCTGGCTCGTTCCGCTCCCCTCACTCATGGGACGATGCTCGCGTACCGATGGCATCCGTCTCATTTCGACTGCACCACGCCGCTTCCGATGCACTTCCGAGGCGTGGCACACATTGTTGGCTCAACTGGACGACGCGACAGCCGTGCCTCTGCGCTCCGTTGCCCACTCTCGCGCGCGAGCAGCGGCGGCAGGCTCTGCCGCTGCCTCTTCCGATCCACGCGGCTCGCTCGCCCGCGGCAGCTGCAGCGGCAGACTGCGCGGCAGGCACGCGCCGCGCCCCCGGTGCGCCTGCCGAGGGCGCGCGGCGGGCACGGGCGGCAGGCGCGCTCCGGCGCGCCACCCGAGAGGCCGCGCCCAGGCCTGCACGCCCGAGCAGCGGCAGGCTGCGCCCCCTCCCCTCGTCACCGCGGGGGGGGGCGCGGCGGGGACTGCTCGCCGAGGCGACGCAGCAGCGCAGCTGCTCCTCCTCCGGCGAGGTGGCGCACTCGCTTCGGTCGTTCAAGGATGGGGCCCTGAGGGATGGGATCCCGAGAACGAGGTGTCTCGAACGGCGCGAAATCCACCCCTGAAGTCCTTCCTGTCCTCGGGAGGTCCCCAGCCCTCAGGAACCCAGACTTGAGCCACCAGCCGCTGCACTGCAGCGACCACCGCCGGCCGCTGCAGGTGGGAGCGGAGGCGGAGGCGCAGCAGTGCGCGGCCAAAGGCCGCGCCGCGGGCGCAAGCCAGGAGAGTCGCCAGGGGCGAAGGACGAGCGCAGGACGGCGAGCGCCTCGGCATCGGCGGCCCGCCGCCCAGCGGCGGCCGCGCCCGCTGGCCGGCGGCCGGCGGCCAGCGGGGGCCGGCCAGCGCCCCACGCCGTGGGTCGCGGGGCGCGCCCAGCGGCGGCCAGCAGCACGGCCAGCGCGGCCGCGCCCCAGGGCAGCCGCCTCGCCACGCCCGGCACGGGCAATGGCCGCCTGCCCCTGCCGTCGTTGTCGTCGTCGTCGTCGTCGTCATCGCCGTGGCCGCCGCCGCCGCCGCCGTCGTCGTCGTTCTCTTCGGCACTCCCAGAGCGAGGAGAAGAGGAGGGAGAATGAGGAGGAGGAGGAGGAGGAGGAGGAGGAGGTTCAGAGATTCAGATATATCGCGAAGCGAATCCGATATAAATTAAGACCGAGCCTCCATCTCAGCTTTGCTGAGAACCTTGGGCGTGAGGCCTTTGGCTATTCTGGCAAGATATGCCTTGCCCGTCTTGGTCGGGGGTTTGCATTCCTTGGCGAGGCCTCTCAGCTGCTGTGAGCCGATACACCCGCAAAATCCGCAGAACCAGACTTCAAGAGGCTCGTGAAAGCTCATCTGATGAGACGGGTGGACCCACCCCCCAGCGAGATGTAAACGCCGCCACTGAGGTACCCTAACAGTGTGACTGGTGCACCGAACGGGTAGAAAACATTCGGACGTGAAAAACTCCCCCTTAAATGCCGCAGTCGTGGACCCGTGACACGTCGTGCACTTCATACCGCATGGGCTGACAGTATGAGTGGAATTGAGAAGGGCCACCGCGGCAGGAGCGGGGGGAGCGAGTCGGGGAGCACGAGCAGGAGCAGCAGGGGCCCGTTCTTCCAAACGACCCACTCGCTCGAGTTCGGCAACCTCTAAAGTAGCCCGAAGCAAACGGTGGCGGATTCTGCAAGCGTCAGCCTCGATACTCAAAACACGATGCCTCTGGGTCTCAGGGACACGAGCGGCCTTAGCCGCTTCTCCTGCCAGAACGTCGGCGAAGATGTTCCCTTCGACCATCCATCGAGGCACATCTTTGGCAATGATCTCGGAAGCCTCGAGGTGAGACGGGACCCACAGGACAACAACGGAGCCAGGGTCCCGATTCTTGACTAAAAGATCTTTACCCATATCACGCCAGAGGTCTACATTGGCTCCTCGAGGGGCCTGAAAGAGATGGACCCACCACCCTGCACAGACGGCGTCGTTGTCCGTCACGTAGACAAGGGGGCCGTCCGAGAACCCAAGAGCGGTGAGCAGCATGTAGAGTTCCCCCCGTAGCGACCGTTTGTAGGGGGCCAGGGAGGGGACCGAAAAGATACCGAGCACCATCATTAGAGCGCCACTGGGAGGAATCGACAACCGCAACCCCAACCCGTCGATGACGAGGGTCGCGGGCATCGGGGCCTCCTGCGGCGTCCCCATGCAAGACAACAGGATTATCTAGGGTGCCAATGCCGAAATACAGAGGGTCGATCTCCCTCGCTTCGGGAGGGGCCGACCAGGATTCCACGGGGGTGGGGGAGTCTACTTTGGCCCAGGAGGGTGGGATTAACCCCCTAAACCAAAAACATTCATCACTGGCAGACTGAACTATAGCCTTATGACACAACTGGTTAGAGTGCGCATATGCGGCGGAAGCTGCATCCGAGTTGCACTCACAAGCGTATTACCTATGCAAAGGTGTCTCCTTATCTGTTTTGCAACGTGGGCAGATGTCGGACTCGGCGTAGCCTCCGTCCTTCCTCCGCTCGGCAGGCCAAGCGCCTCCCACAGCAATAACCATCATGAGCTCCGCGAGGCGTCTGCCGTGCGGGAGCTGCTCCAGCTGGTACAGGAAGCGACGGCAGCTGAAGTTGTCGACCCCTCCCTCCATGCCTGCACCACCATATCCTTGCGAAGCAGTGCTCCACTGCTGTAACTGAACTGAGTGCGTGAGTTCGTCCAAGAGGCAGGTGGCCTGGTCGATCCATTCGAAGCCGTCTGGAAACGACCACCCGTGGGCGATGCCATCTTCCCCTGTAGGACTGTACCATTCCGTCGGAGATACTGGATCCCAGTTGGCCTGAAGAAGGTAGTGGATGGCAGCTGTCATAGGACCCTGACATGTCGAGCTCGATGTTGTGGGTCTATCTTACGTAGCTGAGCAACCCCTTCCTGCCAAACTCGATAAATTGGGCCACGTACACGGGGTTCGGTAAGCCAAACCTTCAACCACATACCGACGCACTTCCTCATCAACTGATAGCCTGGATCGTGCCCTGGTGTGCGAAGGTCCAAAAGAGTGGTGATGCACCTCCCGTGTCGGTGACCACCTGCCACAGCGCCTAGGCGCCGTCGCAATGCTTGGATGGATGTCTGAGGCAGGCCGTGAACTTCGTGGCCATAGGTGGCCCCCGCTTGGGGGCCAGCTCTCTCGACCTTCTGCAAGATCTTGAACCTCCGAGTGGAAGCTGCGAACTTACGTACCTTACCATGTTGCCTGCGTGCCTGCCCCATCCTCTTAGTCCGAGTAGCTCGAGCTAATCTGCGTCCGCTGTCTAACTCGACTCCGAGGTACGGGGCCTGCTTGGCGATCTGAACCGCGATGCCTCGGCGGCGCGGCGGACCACCTCACGGGCAGTCTTCATACCCGAACATGTGACGACGCCCTTGGGGGCCAACTCCAAGGACTCCTCAATCAGAGCGTCGCTCACTGCCGCGATACCGTTGACCAGAGCATCCTCGACCGCGAGAGGAGAACCAACTGCAGACAAGGAGAGGTCGTCAATCCATAGCCGTTCTGAGAGGTACGGGTTGGCTGCGGCGACTACCTCCATGACTCTGTTGGTCATGCAGCGGGCAACACGCGTCCCGCTCCTGATGCCCTGGATGATGGACCGCGTGGCTTGAAAGGGTCGAGATGTCGCGTCGAACTGAGCGAGCAGCCGCGGGCCCGCGCAGACCTGCAGCTCGAGGAAGAGGACGCGCGCTGGGAAGCCGTATTTGAGGGCCCCACTCACGAGGACATCCCATTCCATCATATCGTAGAAACTCCTGATGTCACAAAGAGCGTGGCCGTTGGCCATCTTGAGGCGCCAGAAGAGTTCTTCATCTAGCGCTCGCATGAATGCTTCTTTGAGGGCTGAGTTGCCCTCGATGGCCGCGCCCCAAGAGGGACACGTGTCCCCGCCCCAGCTCTTGACAACGGGCTCTCGCACAAGGGACCATACACGGCATAGGAGACACACCAGCCCTATTGCCCTGTCGCCTGGGCTCTTTGTAGGGGGGAGGCGACCGAGGACAGGGAGCAGCTGCCATGGCCATGTGCAAGATTCCTCAATCATGACAAAGAGAGAGGCGAGGGCGGCGAGCGCGGCATCAGGCAGGCGGCCCAAATCTGTCGGAGACAGCCTGTCGAGCCCTTGACCAGCACGAGGTTTCATGCGTCTGAGGGCCCCCCTGATGTCGCTCGCCGCGATCTCGGGGAGGTCGCCTGGGAAGGTGGCCTCCTTGATTATCCTGAAAGTGGCTGAAACTGTATCCATTGCAATATATTGAGACGATGTCCAGAGCTTGTGCCAATGCTGCGCCTTCTTGTCGATGACGTCCATCGGCTGATATATCATTCCATCTGTCGAATCGAGCTCGAGGGTCGGCAGAGGGGCATCTTCGGCAGCCTTGAAAAGGGCCCCAGTGCCGTCGCGGTCAGAAACCCATTGCTTGAAGTCTGCCAAGGAAGAAGCCACAGCCCTGGATTGAGCCCGATTCATGATCTTGAACAACTCTGCCTCGTACATGTCAAGCTGCTCTTGAGAAATGCTCCCAAGGTCGTTGAACACCGACTGCCATGTGGTCCAGGGAGCGGCCGTCGGCTGATTGTTGATGCTGGAAGCCGTACTCGCTGGGGCCTGGCCCATGAGTTTGATCCCGCACTCGACGAGGGTCTTGACCTGGGCAATGCCGTTGGCGCGACGTCGGTGCCGAGCCGTCTTGGCGAGGATAGCGCGAGACCTGGCCCACCACGAGGCCACCACGACGAGGTACGGCATGTCACGAAGATGTTCTGACTGTCGAGCTCGGCGCACCACCAGCTTGGGACCAGACGCCCTGGAGACAGCCGATCCCTTACCGTCCAGCTGGCGATGAGCCCGAAACGCGCGCTCCACAGCGGAGACCCATGAGCTGAAAGCACTGATGACCTGCACCATATATTTGCCGCCCACACGGAAGGCAACTGAATCACGAACTGGCGACCAAACGTCGGAGAGCGACTGGGGCTGAAAGCCGACTTCAGTCTGAGCCAAGTGCCACGGGGCAGCGGGACTGGAGAACGAAGCAGGAGCAGTAGCACCAGCAGCGGAGCTGGGATCGGGGTTAGGGCCCTGGGGCGTCTCGCTGGGGGGGGGGGGGGGGGGCTTAATATCATTATCTGCCTCATCCATCCCCAGTGGGGCGGGGTCGGTCAGCGAATTCACATCGGGCAGGACCTCAGAAGAAGACGGGCCCCAAGACGGAGGAGGAGGGGTGGGAGAGGACACCACGAAATTGGGAAGGTCGGCCCAGGGATCGATTTCCCCATCCCAGAGACCGAAATGGCAACCAGAAAAAACTCTGCGTCCTGGAGGAGGTCTTGACCTGGCACAGCTGCATCATTGGGCCCCGCTTGGTCAGCTCCTCCCCCCTGGACCGCATCAGTCGACTTGTCAAGGTGATATCCGTGCACTTCCTGGGCAAAAGCGGCATGTTTATCGCGGACGATAGCCTGGCGTTCGACCAGAGCAGCACGGGCACGCGAGGCCTTGGAACCAGGCTGGCTCTCCGCCTCCGGCCGCTGGACCTGAGGGGAACGCTCGTGGAGGAGGAGAGCGCGAGTGAGGAGCTGCTCGCCATGCCCTCTCAAGTGGAGGGACAATGCCGAATGAGGCTTCCATGTGACATCGTGGACCACATGTAGGCCTAAGATGCACGGGGGAGCAGATTGGGAGGCTACGGCATAATCGATCAGGCTGGACCCGCCAGCGCCTATACACGTGAAATCTGAAGGTGGTTTGACGACGGCCCCCCCGACCTTAGCGAGGAAACCGCTGGCCTCCAGGACCGAAGGGGGGGAATTAAAATCCCCGAGAATGATCCAGGGGATCTTGAGCATCTGAAGGAGGGCCCCGACTCGGGCGAACCTACGTAAATTGTCGCCTGCGAAGCCTGTGGAACAGAGCCCGTACAGGGTGATAAGAACTATAATGAAACCCTGGAAGTTGAGGATGACAGGGGGGAAGCCGCCGTAGCTCTGAGAGCCGTCGGCGCAAAGAGGAGGGATGGGATACTGGGCTCGGGGGAGATGATGAACCTGCCTATGCCCCTCGCACAGGAAGATCCCCCCACCCTCGTTGGCACGCTTTTTACCTGACGCTGTCAAGCAATGCTTGCCCGTCTCACGAGCACAGTTGATGACAGACTTGAACTTACTCGAGCGAAATCTCTGCCCCCATTCGAGGCGCGAGCCCCTGCCAACATGAGCTTCGCACAGAGAGAAATACTGATAAGCTCCGCTTTGCTTCAGATGCTGAAGATACTTCCAACTCCGAGGCCCTAGGACCGTGATATTTACTGAAAAAGACTTGCACGACCGAACTTTCCCCTGCTGAAGGTTGGTCGCTTGCCTGAGAGAATGCCGACTGCCGCTGCGCAGTCGCCTGGCCGTCAGAGCGCGCGGCGCCTGCGGCCTCACTCCCGCTTGCAGCCGACGCTGCCGACGGTGAAGAAGGTGCCGAAGATGAGGACGCTGATGCCGTCCGCCCCGAAGCCGGACTTGTAGAAGGAGATGTGGACTGCGACGCAGTCCCTGTTGACCCACTGGTAGGTGCTGACGAGCAGGCGGGCGACTGCACGTCAGGGCTGCCCCCGTCACTGGGGGGCGGCCGCTGTCACGCTGACGCCGCCGTCGAGGCCGCTGGTGCTCCACCTTCGGGCGAAGCAACCGAAGCCAGCGCAGCCTTGGTCGCCTCCTCGGCGGCCTTCTGCTTGGCGGCCCAGATGCGATCTCCTTCTGGATCTCCGCCTCCTGAGCATCCGTCTTGTCCGTCTGGTCGCCGCTGCTGTCGGCGCAAGGTGCGCCAGCAGCGGCATTGCCCGAAGGAGCCGCTGGCGAGGACGGGGCCGCTGGCCCTGTCGGGGCGCCCTGGCCCTCCTGGCCTTTCCTCTTCTTGGCCATGCGCGCGCGGATGCCGTTCTGCATGTCAAGCATGTTGGCCCCCCATGCCGTGACCTGCTCGCTGCGCGTCTGGAGGAGGCCCTTGGTGTCCTGGAGCTCCGCCTGGAGCCGCTTTAGCTCGACCCTCTCGCTCTCCTCGCATTCGAACTCGCCCGCATCCAGCTGGTCGAAGAAGTCTTGGTCCCAGCTGATGGTGAACATCTTCGACTCGCCGCCGTCGGTGTTCCCATCCTTCTGCGGGGACTCCGACGACCTCGTGAAGCCCAGGCCTACCTCGGATGCCAGAGCCCGCGCCGCAACTCTCCTGCCCAGCTCGGCGGCGGCCAGCTGCCGAACAGTCTCCTGCTCGCGCTGCAAAGCCCTCTCGAGCTGCTCCCTGCTGCGGGCGACCTGAGCACACGCCTGGTCGTGCTTGGTGTTGGCGTCGCGCCATGCCCCTTCCGCGCGCCTGACCGCCTCGGCTGGGGACGGCAGGTCGGCCGCGGAAGGGGCCTGCTGCTGCCGCAGAGCGGCAGTGAGCGTGGCCTTCAGCACGGGGTCCTGCACCAGGGAGATGGCCTGGGTGAGCACCTGCGTCTGTGATGCCTTGGACGGCAGCATGGCGAGCGCCAGATGATCGTTGAAACCATCCTTGGCCTTGCCCTTGCCGCCCTTGCCTTTGCCACCAGCACCAGCACCGCCGTCGCTCTTGGGCTTGTGCAACTTCACCTGGCGGTTGCACTTGCCGCAGCGAAATGCATTGCACTCAAGCACATCGTTGTACTCGTGGGTGTGGCATGCTTTGCAGGTGCTCCATGGCCGAGACATGAACCGTAGCTGAATCTCTACCCAGATTCGCCGCAAGGAGCGCCTTTGCACTCGGTTAAGGTGGCCTCGCGCCCCCCAAGCACCCACTGGACGGTTCTGGGCTCTCGGTCGGGCAAAATGCTCGAGCCGAGGTTGCTTGAGATGAGGAGGAGGAGGAGGAGGAGGAGGAGGAGGAGGAGGAGGAAGAGGGAGGAGGAGAGGGGAGGAGGAGGAGGAGGAGGAGGAGGAGGAGGAGAGGAGGAGGAGGAGGGAGGGAGGAGGAGGGAGGAGGGAGGAGGGAGGAGGGAGGAGGGAGGAGGGAGGAGGGAGGAGGGAGGAGGGAGGAGGAGGAGGAGGAGGAGGGGAGGAGGAAGAGCACAAGAAATGAGAGGGCGCAGAAAAGAGGGGGAGGAGGGAATAGGATGGGAAGTTTCTTTTACTCCCTTCCCACCTGGACATTCGACCAACATCCGCTCTGAATCCGTCCCTGGACACTTCCGAGGGCCATGCAGGCAGCCTTTTCAAGCTGCGCCCGGCCGTGGCGACGAGGACCTCTGGAAACGACGACAACGACGACAGTGGCGGCGTCGTGGCAAGTCGATCACGAGACCTGCTCCGAGGTTCGTCCCAGCCAAAGTCCCACACAACGAGAGACCGGCCAGAAACATGCGATAAGCGTAAGAGAACATCACACGTCGACAAGTCCATGAGAATATCGAAAATCCGCCGCCGACGACGCCGTCGTTCGGAGGCAACGATGATGGGGGAATAGCCCGCGGGCAAGCAATACACGAATTCAGCGGCCCCGATGGTCCACGTCTTCTGCGACGCTCCCCAGCAAATGCGCGCAATGCCCGCCCCCGTCGTCGTCGTCGTCGTCGTCGTCGTCGTCGTCGTCGTCGTCATCGTCGTCGTCGTCGTCGTCGTCGTCGTCGTCGTCGTCGTCGTCGTCGTCGTCGTCGTCGTCGTCGTCGTCGTCGTCGTCGTCGTCGTCGTCGTCGTCGTCGTCGTCGTCGTCGTCGTCGTCGTCGTCGTCGTCGTCGTCGTCGTCGTCGTCGTCGTCGTCGTCGTCGTCGATCCCGCTGGCCCGAGACGCGGCGGGGGTGGGCGGCGCGCCGCGCGCGGTGCTCCGAAGGAGGCCGTGCGCGAGGCCGCCGCCTGGGACGGCGCCGCGGGGGGAGAGAACGGCGGGGGGGGGGGGGCCAACGGGAGGGGGGGAGTGAGGGGGGAGCAGGAGGGGAGGAGGAGGAGAAGGAGGAAGAGGAGGAGGAAGAGGAGGAGGGAGAGAGGGAAGGAGGGAGGGAGGGAGGGAGGGAGGGAGGAGGGAGGGAGGGAAGGAGGGAGGGACCACGAGGGTGACGAGCACGACCGCTACCTGTCGCGCCACGACGCCTGGCACGTTTGCGAGTAGTACGACCGAAAGAAGCACCGCGAGGATGACGAGCACGACCTGTACAAGCAGCGCCAATACGCCCAGCACGTTGGTGAGCAGTACGACCGAAAGCAGCACCACGCGGGTGACGAGCACGACCGGTACCAGCAACGCCAATACGTCCAGCGGGTCGGTCAGCAGTACGACCGAGAGCAGCACCGCGAGGGTGACGAGCACGACCGGCACTAGCAGCACCACTACGCCAAGCACGTCGGCGAGCAGTACGACTGAGAGCAGCACCGCGACTGTGACGAGCACGACCGGGGTCAGCAGCACCGCCACGCCCAGCGCGTCGGCGAACAGTACGACCGAGAGCAACACCACGTATGTGACGAGCACGACCCGTACCCGCAGCACCACTACGCCCAGCGCGTCGGCTAGCAGCACAACCAAAAGTAGCACCTCGAGGGTGCCGAGCACGACCGAGACCAGCAGCACCACTACGCCCAGCACGTCGGTGACCAGTACGACCGAGAGCAGAACCACGAGCGTGACGAGCACGACCGATACGAGCAGCATCGCCACACCCAGCGCGTCGGCGAGCAGTACGACCGAGAGCAGCACCACGAGTGTGGCGAGCACGACTAGCACCAGCAGCATCACTACGCTCAGCACGTCGGCGAACAGTACAACCGGAAGTAGGACCACGAGTGGGACGAGCACGACTGGCACCAGCAGCACCACTACGCCCAGCACGTCGGCGAGCAGTACGACCGAAAGCAGCACCACGAGTGGGACGAACACATCTGGCACCAGCAATACCACTACGCCCAGCACGTCGGCGAGCAGTACGACTGAGAGCAGCACCGCGAGTGTGGAGAGCACGACCGGTACCAGCAGCACCGCCACGCCCAGCGCGTCGTCGAGCAGTCCGACCAGGAGCAGCACCACGAGGATGCCCAGCACGACGGGGACCAGCAGCACCACCACGCCCAGCACGCCGGCGAGCAGTTTGACCGAGAGCAGCACCACGAGGGTGATGAGCATCTATGTGGGCAGAGTTTGGGCCACGCGCGCCCTGGAGACACCTCCGCAGGGCCACCGCAATGGCAGCGCCGAGCTATTCTATCTGCGGCATGTGCGGTCTTGCGCAGCCGCGGCGTCAGGGGCACAGGCGGGACAATCCAGCAGCAGCCCGCCTGCCCCGACCACGCAAGATTCGCTACTCCCACCGACGGGGCCGTTCACTGGAGCCCTCCTGGACGCCGCGTTCCTGTGCACTCGGGTGTATTGCGAGCTGTCGCTCCGAGGCCTCCTTCTGGCCATGGGCCCAGACGCGTGGCTCCCAGCCTGCGCGGGTTGCATAGCGCACGGCGCCCTCGGCAGCCAGGCTCCCGCAATGCATCTCAGCGCGATGGTCTCCGGAAGCCCGGTGCCATGGATGGCCTCGCGGGCGACGCTGCTCGGAGGGTGGCGCTCGATCGTCGGCCTCGCCGCCCTGGGGGCCATGGCCGGAGACGTGCACGTTCGCCCCTGGACATGCCGACTGCGCAGCGCAGGCGTGGTCGCGGCGGGAAGCGGGGCCCTGGATGACCCACTCGTCGGCTTGCTCCTCCTGGCCGCGTGCCAATGGCCAGCCTTTCCGGGCGACGAGCCCGACGGGGGGCCGCCGCCGCCGCCGCCGAACCCGCACCCGCAATCCAGACCGCCATCTGGGCGGGACGTCCTGGTCACCAAATGGGCCGTGGACGCCCTGCGCTCGAGGCGGGCTTGCCTCTGCCGGGCCGCCGGCTGTGGGGATCGCATCGAGAAGGGCGAGCTGCGTGTGTTCAACCCCGACCAGGCGAACAAGTTGTACTATCACCCGCGCTGCGTCGAGGGCGGGCGTGGGCCCTTCGACCAACTTGGGGGCGCCCGCCTCCTCGCGGCGGAGCAGGCGGACGCCATCCGCGAGTGCTGTGACCAGCCAGGCAAGACCACGAGAGCGGAGTACGTCGAGGACACACGCCGCGCCAAGCGCGCAAGAGCAGACCCCGAACAGCACTGGCAAGCAGCCGCCCTTGGCGCCCCTCTGCTCGACGCCGACGACGGAGGCCCCGCCGACTTGCCAGAAGATGCCGCGGACGAGGGGGAGCTCCCCAAGAATTTGGCTTGGTGGGACACCGTCGACTACGATGACCTCCGACACCACGTGGCGACCGAGCTTCACGTCCCGGACACGGCGGGGGCTGCCCTCGCGCAGATCCGCGGCCAGGTGGCGGAACGCCTCCTGCAGGCCACCAACAACGGGGACGCGACCACGCTCAAACGCGCAGAGAAGCTCTTCACCTTCTTCGACCGAGTCCTCTTCTTCAAACCAGGCAGGACCAGAGGAGGGCGCAAGGCAGAGAGGAACAGCGGGGGGCGCGCAGCCATCTTCACCCGACGCTTGCGCCTCGCCGAAGCAGGCGACTGGGGCGCACTCTGGAGGGAGGCGCACGCAGCGGCCGGGACCGCGCCGCGGCGACCTCGGCGCGCCGACCCCCCCCCAGAAAGACGCTAAGGCGGTGGAAGCACTGGTCGGCGAGGGCTTGGTCAGCAAGGCCATGACCCGTGGCTTCCGGCCGGCCACGGTGGCCACGGAGGCGGGGTTGCAGGCAGGCCTGCAGGCGCTCTTCCCCCCTGGGGCCGCCCCGCCCTGCGCGGCCGACCTCGTGCTCCCAGACGAGGGCACCAGCAACGACCTGGTCGCGGCCGCGAAGCGCCATCTCGGCCGGAGCCCGCGGCAGTCTGGGCCGGGGCCCAGAGGGAGCCGCTTTGAACACTGGCGCGCCCTCCTGAAAGATTCAGCTGCTCTGGACGCGGTCGCCAAAGTGACAGTCCTCTTCCTGTGCGGCGAGCTCTCCCCGGAAGCCATGCGAGCCAACCTGAGCACGCGCTTGGTGGCTTTCCGCAAACGCAACGGGGGCCTCCGGCCTATCGCCTGCGGCAGCGTGCTGCGCCGCCTCGCAGCCAAGGCAGCGCGCGACGTGTTCCAGGAGGACATCAAAGCCGCGTGCGGGCCACACCAGTACGCCGTGGGAAAAGCAGGGGGCTGTGAAGTCATGCACAAGTGCATCTCGGCGCTCACAGAGGCGAACCCCCGGAGCGCGGTGATCGCCTTCGACTGCAGCAACGCCTTCAACAGCCTGCCCCGGCAACATCCTGAGCAGCCTCCGCGCCCGGGCGCCGGCGTCACTCAGAACGGCGCACTGCTGGATAGGGGAAAAACGACGCACTTGTTCTGGGGCGACAACGACTGCGCCGAGCCCGTCCGGGCAACCAGCGGGGTCGACCAAGGGCGCCCGCTGTCGCCGGCCTTGTTCGCCATTGCCGCGGCGGGGGCCCTGGGCGAGATCAACGCGAGGCTCCAAAATCTGTCCCCGGAGTGCCGGGTGTTCTCCTACCTGGACGACATCATGGTCTACGCGCCGCCAGCGCACGCCGCCGCGGCGGCGCAGCTGGTTTCCGAAGAGCTCGCTCGCCTTGGCCTGTCGACCAACCCCGACAAGACGAAAGCCTGGGCAGCCGACCGCGGGGCCCCGCTGCCAGCTGCACTCGCCGCCTTCCGAGCTGACAACCTGCTCTGCCTCGGGAACGCCGCTCCCTGGCTAGACCAGCAAGAGGACAGGGTCCTGGTCCACGCCGGGGCCGACGGCGCCGCGGCAGTGGCCCGCGCGCGGGCCTTCGCCGCGCGGCTGCGAGAACTGAGAGCGGCCGGTCTTTCAGCTGAGGCCACGCACACACTCTTGTGCACCTACGGCGACGGGCGGGGATGCGTCACGCACCACCTCAGGGCGAACCTGCAAACGTGCTGGGTGCAGGAGCTCGACGACGTGCTGTTCGCCGCGCTCGAAAACCTCCTCGCGGAGCCCCTGGACGACGTGCGGCGCCTGCGAGCCACGCTGCGTCTCTCCGACGGAGGGTGCGCTTTCCCTTCCGCCGCTCAGACCGCCCCGGCCGCGTACGCCGCCAGCTGGGCCCTCTGCCTGCACGACGTGGCTACCTGCCTGGGGGTCAGCACCCTGGAAGAACTTCGCGCCCGCTGCCCGCGCACCCTCCAAGCCTTCGCCCAAGCGGAGCAGGCGCTCCGGGGCGCTGGCGCGCTCGGAGAAGAACCCCTTGACCTGCTGGACTACATGCGGGAGCCGCAGCACAAGCGGCAGGGGCACTGGGGGAAAGCCGCCTCGGAGGCCAGTAAGAAGCGACTCCTGGACACGCTGCTGGACGAGGACGGCCGCCTCTCGCTACGCTCGGCCGGCGGAACGGGGGCGGGGTCCTTCCTGCTGCCCCGACACGCCGGCGACGCCGCGCAGCCAGACAAACACTTCCTCACGAACCTGAAGATACGGCTGGACATGCCCGTCTGCCCTGAGGGGGCCCTGTGCCAGCACAAGAACAAGACCACTGGGCAACTCTGCAACAAGCCGCTCGATCGGAAAGGGTGGCACGCCAGGAAGTGCGAAGTGGGGGAGTCTCGGAACGACCGACACAACCGGCTGCGGGACTGGCACTCCAAGCGGCACTCGGCGCTCACTGGATACGCTGCCCCCACCGAGCAACGCGTGCCCGGGTGGGATCGTCGCCTCCCCAATGGCCGCCTCGAAGAGGTCAAGCTCGACGTGGCCACCGTCGACCACAACACCAGGCGCCACATCTTTGTGGACTGGGCCGTGACCTGCGCACACTCAACCTATGCCCCGCGCAGGCAGGCCCGGTCCCACAGGAGCGGCCTGGCAGCGGCCCAAGAGGTCGACAGCAAGAGGGA